CCCCCCCGTCTCTGGCTCATCCCACAGAACAAAGGGGAAGGTTTTAGCCTGTTTTAGAAAACTGAAGTAAGTTCCTGGCTGAGCCGAGGGACGTTCTGTGCGTCTATGGCCACTGCACCGCGCTGGGCATGTGACTCTGCTAACGGGAATAATCAACTGTCTGTCGCCAGGAAAGGGTCCCACAGGGGCAGCCTCCCAGCTGGGCAGGTGGAGTCCCCAGATCTGCCACAGCTTCACTAACCCTGGGCCTGAGTGTGGGAGAAGAGCCCAGGTTGGGGTTGTCAGGGATTGTGAGCCCCAGGAGGGGCCAGAGGGGATGTTTAGTTTCTTTTCTTTCCCTGGGAAGTGAGTTCAAGTAAATTCACACCCTCAGGACTAAGCTGCAGAACAGCTGTTCCACCCTAGTGACGCTGGGCTCTCCCCTGAATCCCCCCGACGCTGACAAGCCCTGTGTGTGGACAGGAGGTTTGAATTCTTTCTTCCTCAACCCAGCAACCCGGCCCAGCCACCCACTGCCCCTCTGCCCCCGCTCCTGATCTGCCTTCACCCTCAGGACTAAGCTGCAGAACAGCTGTTCCACCCTAGTGACGCTGGGCTCTCCCCTGAATCCCCCCGACGCTGACAAGCCCTGTGTGTGGACAGGAGGTTTGAATTCTTTCTTCCTCAACCCAGCAACCCGGCCAAGCCACCCACTGCTCCTCTGCCCCCGCTCCTGATCTGCCTTTACATCCAGCTGTGTAAGCTCCTTGGCTGGATGTTCAGCCAAACTTGGCCAGCCGGGAAAGGATCAATCAACTAACTGGAGGCCATAAAATAGCAAGGGAGCAGTTACACAAATGTGTGCAGTAGTCCCACCTCCCCTCCCCTCTGCCCTGTGGATACCCTAAGGGTTTGTAAATAAACAAACTCCTGAACCTTTACTGCATACATGACACTTTACCCTTCCCCTTAGTCCAGGGGTAGGGAACCTAAGGCCACAGGCCAGATGTGACCGTTGGCTTGCCCAAGGTTAAGAGCTCCCCTCAGCACTGGGGAGCCTGAGCTGCTGCTCCGTCCCTCCTCCCTTCCCTTCTGTCCCCCTATGGGGCTGGAGCACACAAAATCTACTAGTCTGGGCCCCCCAGGCTCTGGGGTGTGAGGGGAACGTGGTGTCTGAGCAGGGACAGAACCCCAGGGAAAGGGCCAGCGGGACTGCGGCAGCATTAGCAGAGTTAGTTACCTGCGTATCCTTGGGCTCTGGTGAGTCCTAAAATAATCAAACACAAGATTTTACACAAACGAAATTCAGACTCAGCAAGACACAC